CAAGCTTCTCAAGGTCATCTGAAGACTTACGAACAAACAAATCATTAAACATTGGTTGTTTTCGTTCGTCTGCATAGTTTTAGTCATCTGAACGCTTCTTCCACATAATATATACTATAACAATCGATTAGTTTAATTTTATAGACACAATTTTGTTGTGACTCTTCTGGGGTCATATCCTCATCTTTCAATGATCTACCAGTATCACTACTCATTAAAATATAAATTTTTATGTCGTCTTTATATAAAAATAATGACTACAGTACGAATTCAGAATTTTAGTAGACATCTAGACCTTATTTATCGTATATCGTTAAACATCTTTAAAATGTTCGACTGATTTATTTGACCTCAATGCATATATGAATATATATGTATATATATATGCATATATATATATATATATATATATATATATATATATATTATATGTATACAATTCAGCCTGTTTGACTTTTGTCAGTGTAGTAAGATGTTTATTTATCTTTATGGAATTTCCAACAACTGGGATTTTCATTAGAAAACTGTATCGATTTCTTAATATATAGTGTCTTCTAGAATGTATACCTCTTCGGATGATATTAAATTTACATTGTTCTTATGTCTCCTTTTTCGATACAGCAATCAAAAACTCTAATTTATGTATGGTCAGTGAATTCGGTATACCTCTTCAAGGAGTACATTTAATTCATCTTACTCTCTAATACGAAAAATGTTGTCATCAAACTTATGGTTTGACCACATGGTTCATGATTGTATTTATTTCCAATCGATCTTAAAATTGAATAACATGGGAGTTAAGTATAATTACAAGCGTTTAATTTTCGTGGAGGAATTTTATTGTTAGAGGGTGCTTAAATACTCCTTAGAAAAGTTTAAAGAAGTACAGAAAACATTTAGATCAGTTAGGATCGAACATAGGAATCTTTAAAACATCTAGAAGAATGATATGTCCCGTTTATAACTGAATAATTACCTTCCTACTGCTATATTTAGTGTGCCTCGAGAAATTTCGGGTCAATCACAGTCACGGTAAATACTCACAGTTTTTCGTGCATACAGAACCTCAGATTAAAGTGATTTTTTTGCACTTCGCACTTTTTCCCTTGTGTTCAAGTGACTAGAAAATCGAATGGAACTTGCAGTTAGCAAACTTATCACTAATAGGCAAACTGAATTTAGTTTAGCGTTAGATTATGAACACTCTTACATAATATATCCAACATTCTCTTATTGATCACATTAATGTCGAAATTTGCTGCCATTTTCATCATCTTTATTTATAATGGTTTGCATTGATCACTATTAGAAACCTGAAAGCACTGAAAGACGGCCGTTTCGTCCTGGTACGGGGCTCATCAGCAGTGCGCATCCACGACTCCTACGAGTAGCAAGATTCGAATCCAGGACCTAAGGTCTTGTGCACGAACGCCTAACCTCTGGACCGTTTCGAATCTTGCGAGGTGCAGGAGTCGTGGATGCGCACTGCTGATAAGTCCCATAACAGGATGAAACGGCCGTCCAGTGCTTCAAGGTTTCTAACGGTTGGTTGATGATTTCAACATGCAAAAACACTGATCTCCATAACTCTAGTTGAAAAAATTAATCACATTGTTGAATTTAATTAAAATTTTACTGATTTGAAATACCTATTCCCTTAAAGGTAGTATGGAAACTAGTTAGTTATCTCACTAGATTATATATGTGTATGAGTATGTGTGTAAAACTACAACCACTGGTCTAAGTGATTTATTTATCACTCTTTGAGTGTTACATACGGCTAACCACCGACTGCCTCGACGAGCTATGTTTTGTGGTGTAGGAGTAGGTTGGAAGAAAGTTAGGGGGGGGCAAAACAAAACATGCCACAAATCCATGAAGTCACTGACAAGTGGACTAAGCCATGTCGGTAGTTGTCGTCTACCTGGTTGGGGTCCGCGAGATGATAATAATCGATAGTTAGAGACCTTGAATGACATGGCTCAAAACCGTTTGCAATGGCGCAGGTGCATTTATTCCCTGTGTTCTCTCAAATGCTAATCTTCTGGATTCTTCAGCACCTCTAGTTTTGACTTTCTAAACTCATCTCACTGAATCATACTTCTTGAATAATAACTTCTAATTCTAACCTCTCCGATTACTTCTAATACCTTTACTACCTGTTCTACTATTGGATTAGAATTGACAATGTCGTCTCAGTGCTGATGTGGTATGGCGACATGAACTGACGTACTTACGTACGAAGTTCTACGTTGCATCTGACTGACTGACTGACAAGTGGACTGAGTCATGTTGGTAATTACAGACTACCTGGTTGGGGTCCGCGAGATGGTCACCGATGGTTAGAGACCTTGAATGACATGGCTCAGAATCGTTCGCAATGGCGCAGATGCATCCACTCCATGTGTTCTCTCAAATTCTAAGCTTTTGCATTCCTCATAATCTCTACCTTTCTCCTTCTAAACGTATCTTACTGAATTATACTTCTCGAATCATATCTTCTCTCACTAATCTTCTGCATTACTGCTAATACTTCTACTATCGCTATCACTCTTGGATTTGAACTGAAAGTTGCGTCTCTGTGCTGATGTGATATGGCAACCTGAACTGATGTACTTATATACGAAGTTCTGCGTTGTATGTGTCTGTCTCTGAGTGCCTATAAAATTTAAAAAGATTGCTGCTTTTTGGTAATAAAATCGACAGTAAAAAAAGTTCCAGTTCCATTTTTTTGCATGCATTGAAAAAGTCTGCTTGTTTTAATTGTACATATGTCCAGTGTTTACTTTGATAATGACAATTTTCTTGACTTTATGTAACCATAATTTTTTTTTTGGTTAATTAGAAGTGCCGGGTTTTCAATACAATAATGTATCTGTAATTAACTTAAAGTAGCCTGGATGTTACAAAATATGTGGTTTGATATTAGACTGTCAGGAATAATTTAAGTTCAAGTCTGATAAAATATAGTTGATAATATTTTCTTCACTAATTAACTAGGCGTAACTGTACTCCTAAGTAAAGTGATATTTCTAGGGACAATTCGGAAATGTATCTTAAATCGCCAAATCTAGTAATAATCCTGATTACGATGTTCATCATTGCATAGAATTGAATAAGTTAGTCAGTTGCAACGTAGAACTTTGAACGTATGTACATAAGTTCAGGTTGCCATACCACATTAGCACAGAGACGCAGTTCGCTCTTTTCTACTATATGGATGCTAAATATTGCCGGTAAGAGTAGAGGACATTTATAGGTTACTTGTCTTCGATCATCGGTGTCTCCGAAGCGTTGCTCATATATATCCTGGGACAACCAAGTAAGCAATGCTATCGTTAGGAAACGATTACCAGATAAGGATGGCAGATCAATTGATGAAGTGTTTAAACTTCATCAGTTGAGGTAGTTGGGACATGTGTTGTGAATGCCCAACCACCAGCTGCCTCGACAAGCGATGTTTTGTGGTATAGGAGTGAGTTGGACGAAAGCTAGGGGTAGCGAAACCAAAACATGGCAGAAATCCATGAAGTCACTTACAAGTGGACTGGGTCATGTCGGTAGTTGTCGGCTACCTGATGGTTAGATACCTTGAACGACATGGCTCAAAATCGTTTGCAATGGCGTAGGTGCATCCACTCTTCGTATTCCCTGAAATTCTAATCTTCTTCGGTCCCTAATCTTCTCCATTACTGCTAATACTTCTAATACTTCTACCATTATGGGATTTGAATTGACAGTGGTGTTTCTGTGCTAAAGTGGTAGTTGTTATGAATGCACGTCACCACATCAGTTCATATGCTTGAACTATCATTACGGGTTACCCTTAGTCGGTAAGTGAGAGCTAAGACAATGATCCAGTGACACGATAGGCTACTCTAATCTGAGCGTCTCAAACCCCACGAAGTAGAGGGAGAAGACTTGATATGAAGAAAAAAGTGTATTCTAACTGACTGACTTTTCACGTCTAGATAATCTCTTATATTGCTTGCTCATCACACTGTCCCAGCACACAAACTACCTTCAAAAAAAGCTACACACAAAAGATTGGATGTTATACAAGAATGACAACACATTGAATCTTATCGCTTTTTGTTTAAACACTCACATTTGACAGTCACCTTGGATAACACAAACAAACCAATCAGTACATTATCTCCGTTCTCTAATTCATTGTGACCTCGTAAGCATTTTAAGAAATTTATGCAAAAATCTTCAATAGAGAAGCTAATTCTTTACTATGCTTTTTATGCCATAAAATACACATATTTTAGTAATTATCAATTATCGATTTATTTTGCTTTTAACTTTAATATGTCTGTCAATAACTGGACAATAATCAAACTCATTCACTTGCACACTACTAACTGTAATGCAATTGTCACTGTACAATGATGCATACATAGGTAAGTATTCTTCTAGCAGACCTATAGTTCTTGACTTCTTGTTTGTGTATTTAATTACTCACATACTTTCACATTTCTACAATCTATCCGATATGAAACTCAGATTTTTTTTATAATCAGAAAAAAACAACTTTGCTGTGCTATTATTTATCAGAATAATATCATATAAATTCTTTTCTCAGGTCACTCACTTACTCTTGTTAGTCAATTTGCGATAGTAGTTGCATTTAGAAAAAAGCACAACAGACAAATATATATTTTTAAACATTTGAAATCATCAATCAATCATTGTTACTAGACCACCATTAGAAACCTGGAAGCATTGGACGGCCGTTTCGTCCTGGTATGGGACTCCTGCGAGGAGCAAGAGTCGTGGATGCGCACTGCTGATGAGTCCCATACCAGGACGAAACGACCGTCCAGTGCTTTCGGTGGTGGTGGTCTAACAATGGTTGACTGATGATTTCAAATGTGTAAAAACGCAAACCTCCAAAACTCTGCCACAAATACATATGATTAGCGCTCAGCTATTGATTAATTTGCTTCAAATATATGTAAACTAATACATAATAATAATAGTAGTATTTATCTTACTTTGCCTAAATTTGTTTGAGCTTCCCAATAAGCACCACTGGTACCATGTTCTGATTCGGCATTAGCCAATAATGTTTTCATTTCATTTTCTTCATTGCGTAATATTTCCACAGTTCTAGACAGAATGCCTTTTTCAGCGCGTAACTCATTTAATTGTGCACGTTTCTGTTTATAAATTGTATTTTTACTACGAAGTTTTGCAACATATTGTTGAAACTGAGTAGGGTATAAAAAAAAACAGTATAGGATCAAGGAAGAGGTGAGGTTTTCAAAATAAAACTCAATCATGTGCTGTTTAACTATTATCACAATAAATTTCTTACTTACAAATCAGCTATACATATAGGCCACATATTTTACTTGAAGGAGTGTGATTCATTTTTTTAGAGGAGGAAGCCAGCTGTTGGTACATAGTGTGAGTGTATCAGTTGGTTGATGACTGAATTACCAAGTGTCTCAGAAATCTGACATTTTCAGAAATGGCCGTCCAGGTTTCTAGTGGTTACCTGGCTTAGATGATCCCACGACAACAATAAAACCTAACAACTACCACAGCTCAATACTGATAATTAACATGTGCTCACTAGTGACTAACTTCGAGAATAAGTCCTTGAAGTGCTGCCAAGAAGCTGTGACAAGTGCAGTTCAGCTATAACAAATGTAAGAAAGTTACTCCTCGAAGGCAGTGGAAGTTACCAACTCTATGGTTCTAAGGTTAAGAGTCAGCGTGCAAAACAGGTCCGGAGTTCGGTAACCATTTGAATGGTCGTTGATTCGCACTGCTGATTAGTAGTCCCATAGATGTATGTAAAGGTCGTCCAGTGCTAGGTTTTCAAGTTATCTAACTCAGATTGGTTCGTGATTATGACAGGGTTGAACCCTGTTGGGTGTAGGCAGTAACTACCAAAGACAAATGGGTGAGGTCGAGCGAAATCGCTAGGTCAATCAGAGTTAAACATCAACAACGTTGGAAGCCGGCCCAGTGGTCCGATGGTCAGGCGTTCGCGCACAATACAGAAGGTCCTGGGTTCGAATCCTGCGAGGAGCAGGAGTCGTGGATGCGCACTGCTGGTGATTCCCATACTAGGGACGAAATGGCCGTCTAGTGCTTTCGGGATTCTAATGGTGGTCTGGTAACAATGATTGATTGGTGACATCAGTGTGCAAAAACACTAATCTCCATAACTCTAGTTGAAAAATCAGTTATAATAGATAAAATCGACCGTAGCGTCGAAGGAATATGTTTAAAGCGAATAGCAACCGATATACCATAACTGTCCAGTTCTTTGCACTGTTTGATTGAAATGACAAGAAATTCAAAGTCAAATATATTTTTGACTACAAATAAAATATAATTAAGTAACTTTATTACGTAGGACAAGATTACCAACTTTGATCAATGGTTCTGTTGAACAAGAAAACAAAATCAACTGCATGTTTACACTTGTTTAAATGCATTTTTTCAATATTTTTATCATTACGTCATTATGATAGATGTTTTTAATTCAAGTTTATAATCTCTGTATATATATAACCTGGTAAAGATGATCAACCTACTGTTGAGATTATTAAGGTAGTTGTGACATGTATTAAGAATGCCCTAACCTATTACAATCTCAACTCGCTTAGTTTGCTTTGACATGAATAAGTTAAATCAAAGTCAAAGGTGGTGAAACCACTTCATGAAGTTATTGACTGTTAGACTGACTAGAGCTAGTAAGTTCGGACTACCAAGTTATGTTACGAGCGATTATCATAAGCAATGGTTAAGGATTTTGTTGTAGACGTTAGATACCCAGAACTCAATAGGAAAAGGTCCTAATTTTGGATTTTTTACGTTTTCGCGCATAAGTCGCTTAGCTGACCTTCAGCTTACATTTCCCACTCGGAAAATTCTTGACTGTGATTAGTAGTTGATGGATTGTTCTAGTAACTCCGCCAGTAGAACCTTAGGGGCTACTGCCGGTCCCAAGCCCGGATAAAGGAGGAGGGTTGGACATGGGGTTGGCGACCCCATTCCGTTGAAATCTCACTTGCCAAAAAAACGCTAACCAGAAAAAATAATTCAAACCATTTTAACTCTGCCCTGGGAGTTGGAAGAAGAATTATGACGTCTCGTGATGAAAGCCGAGTTCCCTCGGAAGTCACGGGGCCGATGCCTCTTCTGACAACCAGAGCAACCATTTTTTTAGGTACATGGAACGTTCGTACATTGTGGGAGACTGGAAGACTATTTCAAGTTGCGGCAGAAATGAAAAGATACAACCTCGAGGTGCTTGGAATCAGTGAAACACATTGGACACAGGTAGGACAACTGAGACTTGCTTCAGGGGAACTGCTGTTATACTCTGGTCATGAAGAGGAAAACGCTTCACATACACAAGGAGTTGCACTGATGCTGTCCAAACATGCACAAAAGGCACTGATAGGATGGTAATCTCATGGACCTAGGATCATCAAATCATCCTTCAAAACAAAGAAACAAGACATTACAATGAACGTCATCCAATGTTATGCACCTACCAATGACTACAATGACGACGATAAAGATCAATTCTACGAAAGGCTGCAGTCAATCGTCGATAAATGTTCACCAAAGGATTTGACGATTCTTATGGGAGACCTGAATGCCAAGGTTGGAATGGACAACACCGGATATGAAGATATCATGGGACGACATGGACTGGGAGAAAGAAACGAAAACGGTGAGAGATTTGCAAACCTATGAGACTTCAACAAACTGGTCATCCGTGGCACAATATTCCCGCAAAAACGCATTCATAAAGCTACATGGATTTCACCGGATCACACTACTCAAAACCAAATTGACCATATCTGTATCAACAAAAAGTTCAGAAGGACCATTGAGGATGTGAGAACCAAGAGAGGAGCTGATATAGCTTCAGATCACCACTTGCTGATCGCCAAAATGAAACTGAAACTAAAGAAGCACTGGACAACGGGACTGACGACATCACACAAGTTTGATACGGCCTTTCTTCGGGATACTGTAAAGCTCAACGAATTCAGGATAGCCCTCACCAATAGGTTCCAGGCCTTTCAGGATCTACTCAATGGAGAGGACACAACATTGGAGAACAATTGGAAAGGGATTAAGGAGGCAATCACTTCAACATGTCAGGAAGTCCTTGGTCGCAAGAAGCACCATCACAAGGAATGGATCTCTGTTGATACTCTTGCAAAAATTGAAGAAAGGAGGAACAAGAAGGCAGCAATCAATGTCAGCCGAACAAGAGCAGAGAAAGTTAAGGCACAAGCTGCATACACAGAAGCAAACAGGGAAGTGAAGAAGAGCATCAGAGCTGACAAACGAAAATATGTGGAAGATCTAGCAATGACGGCGGAAAAGGCTGCAAGAGAAGGAAACATGAGACAATTTTACGAAACAACAAAGAAGCTGGCCGGGAACTATCGTAAACCAGAACGACCAGTGAAAAGCAAGGAAGGCAAAGTAATCAGCGACACTGACGAACAGCGAAATAGGTGTGTAGAGCTCTTTAAGGAACTATTAAATCGACCAGCTCCACTGAACACACCCAACATCGAAGCAGCATCCACGGACCTCCCAATTAATATTGGCGCACCTACGATTGAGGAGATCAGTATGGCCATCAGACAAATCAAGAGCGGCAAAGCAGCAGGACCAGACAACATTCCAGCAGAGGCAACGAAAGCAGATGTAGAAGCAACTGCGAAAACATTTCAAATCCTCTTCAAGAAGATTTGGGATGAGGAACAAGTACCATCAGATTTGAAAGGAGGATACCTCATCAAAATACCAAAAAAAGGCGACCTGAGCAAGTGTGAGAACTACACAGGCATCAATCTTCTTTCAATACCAGGCAAAGTCTTCAACAGGGCATTGTTAAACAGAATGAAGGACTTCGTAGACGCCCAACTTCGAGATCAACAGGCCGGATTTCGTAAGGATCGATCGTGTACTGACCAAATTGCTACATTACGGATCATTGTGGAACAATCAATTGAATGGAACTCACCACTCTACATCAACTTCATCGACTACGAGAAAGCATTTGATAGCGTGGACAGGAAAACACTGTGGAGGATTCTTCGACACTACGGTGTGTCTGAGAAAATAGTCAACATCATACGGAATTCTTATGATGGATTCAACTGCAAAATCGTGCACGGAGGTCAGCTGACAAACTCGTTTGAGGTGAAGGCCGGTGTCAGGCAAGGTTGCTTACTCTCACCCTTTCTCTTTCTCCTGGTCATGGACTGGATTATGAAAACGTCAACATCTGGAGGGAAGCACGGTATCAACTGGACAGTTAGGACGCAGCTGGACGATCTGGACTTCGCAGATGTCCTAGCTCTTCTATCGCACACTCAACAACAAATGCAAGAGAAGACGACAAGTGTAGCAGCAGACTCTGCAGCAGTAGCTCTCAAAATACATAAAGGAAAAAGCAAAATTCTCCGATGCAACACAACATGCACCAACCAAATCACTCTTGATGGAGATGCATTGGAGGACGTTACCGCCTTTACATATCTGGGCAGCATTATCGACGAGAAAGGTGGATCCGATGCAGATGTGAGGGCACGGATTGGCAAAGCGAGGGCTGCATTTCTACAGTTGAAAAATATCTGGAACTCCAAACAACTTTCAAACAAAACCAAAATCATGATTTTCAATACAAATGTCAAGACAGTTCTACTGTATGGAGCGGAAACATGGAGAACTACGAAAGCCATCATCCACAAGATACAAGTATTTATTAACAGTTGTCTACGCAAAATACTTCGTATTCGTTGGCCAGACATGATCAGCAACAACGAACTGTGGGAGAGAACAAGTCAGATTCCAGTGGATGAGGAAATCAGGAAGAAGCGGTGGAAGTGGATAGGACACACATTACGAAAAGCACCTAACTGCGTCACGAGACAAGCCCTCACATGGAACCCTGAAGGCAAAAGGAAAAGAGGAAGGCCAAGGAACACACTACGCCGAGAAATAGAGAAAGATATGAGAGGAATGAACAGACATTGGACAGAATTGGAGAGGGAAGCCCAGGACAGAGTTGGTTGGAGCAAACTGATGAGCGGCCTATGCTCCATTGGGAGTAACAGGCTTAAGTAAGTAAGTAAGTAAGGATTGTTCTAGTATGCTATTTTTGTGGCTCTCCCAACGAGTTTTCGATCATGTAAAAGTAAGCTCGATTGTTTGCCCTCGTTGACCTCGTACTCTCTGGGTGCATGTAGAATACATTCTCTACTCCTTATCAAGACTTCTTGATATAGTTAGCCGGGCCGGGGACAACGGATTAAAATGTCCTATCGTGTCACTTCATCGTTGATCTATGCTCCGTTTATCGAGTAAGGTGAACTGGTAATAGCAATCAAGCATTTCCATTGATGAGCATATCAGACTTTGATTCGCATGGCTCGGAATTCACCTCAACAAACCAGATCCATTCATACGATGTGTTCTCTGAAATCTTCAGTTTTAAAATTATCTTATACGTACATTTATCTTGAGAATTCATCTGTTCTTTTCAAATCCTATTCTCTATGCACTTATACTGTGCATGTTACTTGAAACAATACAAAGATGTAGTAGGCTTTTATCTTGTTTGTAATTGATTGATTGAGGAGTCCCATACCAGGACAAAATGGCCGTCTGTCAGTGCTTCCAGGTTTCTAATAGTGGTCTAACTTTGATCGATTCATGGTTTCGAAAAAAACTTAACAATCTTCAAAACCCCGTAATGAAAATAACTGTGCTCACTAGTGAGCACTAGCTTCGTGAGGAATCTTCTCCAAGTTCTAGTGGGAAGACGTGACCAGTGAAGTTCAACCTGTTAGGGTGTAGATAGTAACTACCGAAGACTGTGTATGAGGTTGCGCAACTCCGTGAATTGATCAAGTTAGACATTAACACTGTCAGATACCGGCTTAGTGGTCCGATGGTTAGGCGTTCGCCTACAATGCGAAGGTCCTGGGTTCGAATCCTGCGGGGTGCAGGAGCCGTGAAGGCGCACTGCTGAAGAGTCCCATACCAGGACGAAACAGTCATTCAGTGCTTCCAGGTTTCTAATGGTGTTAGTCTAACATTGATCGATTCATGGTTTCAAAAATGTGTAATTTAACAATCTTCACAACCCAGTAATGCAAATAAATTAATATCAACTTAATATGATAACTTACTTCATCTGACTTTAAAACAGGCAAATCGGATGATGTTTTACTCGCCGCATTCTCATCTTCTTCTTCATTCTGATGATGCATTGTTGTTGTTGTTGTTGATATGCCTAATTGTGTTTTGATTTCATTTAAACGATTATCTAATTCAATGAGTTTATCACGTGTTGTAGTGAGTGTTTCAGCGGCAGCTAATTTTTTCCGCGTTACAATTGCGGCTTGTTGACGAAATAATGAAATTTTATTATCAAATGGTTCATTGGAAATCATACGTTTCTCTATTAATTTATTTAATTCTAAATTTGTATCACGTAGCTAAATTATATTTTTTGCAATGGAATGAATATAAAGAGAATTAGTTATGATATGATTCATTGTTTTTTGATAATATAATACAAATAATTGGAAGTAAAAGATCTCAAAATATTGGATTAACAAAGTTCTAGACGTATGTATAGTAGTAAAACTAAGTAGTTGCGTCACTGAATTCCTACACAATTATCTGATTGTCAATGAGTGAAACTATCTGTCTCTATATACGTCTCTAGACGTGTTGTGAAGATTGTTGAGTTTCATCGAAATCATGAATCCATGACTGTTAGATTACTATTAGAAACCTAAAAGCACTGGAAGGCCATTTCGTCTTAGTATAAGACTGATCAGTGGTGAACATGCACGACTCCTGCTACTTGTAGGAATCTGGTGTAGGAGTAGGTTGGATGAAAGCTAGGTGCGGCTAAATCAAAACATGGCACAAATCCATGATGTCACTGACAAGTGGACTAAGTTATGTAGGCAGATGTAGACCACCTGGTTGAGGTCTGCGACACGATGGTAACCGATGGTTATAGACCTTGAACGACATGGTTCGAAATCGTTTGCAATGGAGCAAGTGCATCCACTCTTTGTCTTCTCTCAAATTCTAACCTTCTGAATTCCTCATCATCTCTAGCTTTCTCTTTCTCACTTTATCTCACTGAATTATACTTCTCGAATCATACCTTTGAACCCTAATCTTCTAAATTACTGCTAATACTTCTTCTACTATCGCTACCACTATGTAATTTGAACTGACAGTTACGTCTCTGTGCTAATGTAGTATGGCAACCTGAACTGATGTACGTACGTACGAAATTCTGTGTTGTATCTGTCTGTCTGACTGACTCGTGGGAATCGAATCCAGGACTTTCAGTCTGGCGCGCAAACGCGTAACCTCTATGTATAGTTACAATAACTCCATTACATACATACATATATATATTTTTCGACTAAAACGAAAACTGATATATTGTTAAAGCATAAACAAATACAGATTAAAGACAGATTGTCAGAAATTGATAAGTCAACAATCAGGAACAAAAGGTAGCAAATCCATCATTGTACCAACATAACTTTATTGTAAATAAAATAAATATCAGTAAATTATATCAACTATGTATGATGAAAAAAGAAAAAAGGTTACATAACATTTTAATAAATACGTCAAGAATAAAAAGTGATCAGTAACTCGGTCATGTCAACTAAATTTAAACAAAGTGTGGCAGTGGATATTTGATATAATTCCGAAATTTCGCAGACTAATCGTCCTGATAATCTTCAAAGGATAACGCTCAATGGTGTAGAAAATCCAGAAGATGAATACAAAACTTTGATCATGTATATTGTCGCTCACAACACCGATCACAAAACCACAGACATAGGAAACGAAAGCGCAACGGTATGCAAATACCGAGGAGTGAATGAATAGGATTAAAATATACACTTAATCTATGAAGTCATTTACAAGAGGACTAAGCCATGTCGGTAGTTGTTGACTACCTGGTTTGGGTCCGCGAGATGATAATAATCGATGGTTAGAGACCCTGAATGACATGGCTCAAAATCGTTTGCAATGGCGCTGGTGCATTAATTCTTTGTGTTCTCTCAAATCCTAATCTTCTGGATTCTTCAACACGTCTAGTTTTGACTTTCTTAAATTAACTCACTGAATCATACTTCTTGAATAATATCTTCTAATCCTAACCTCTCCAATTACTTCGAATACCTTTACTACCTCTTCTACTATTGGATTTGAATTGAAAATTACATCTCTGTGCTGATGTGGCATGGCAAAATGAACTGATGTACATACGCACGAAGTTCTACGTTCCATCTGACTGAAAATGTACACGTATATATATATATATATATATATATATATATATATATATATATATATATATAAGGAAATGAATGAATCACCGAATTATAGAAGCGACTGACATTAAAGTTAGTGGGATGATTATGTGAGTAGGCTAAAACCGACGCTTAAGCATACATGCTCATATACACTGTCTTTTAAATAAGTTAAACAAAATGGACTTAACCATATTAAATATCAACAAACTCAACTACACACATATAAAGTGCTATAAAACTTCAGTATGTACTCGAAATGTTCTCCATTATTTATTGCATAAGCCACAACTTATTTGTAGCTACGAATATACTTATGAGTCTAAAACAGTTCATTCTTTATTGAGGGTCTACAACACATAAATTGATTAGACTGAACACAGATACGCTAGACATTTTATCAGTAAACTATGAAAGAAACAGTGGGAACATGACTTCCTGAGGAATTAATATTTGTAAATTTCAGTGCCATTTCAGTATAAATCATAAAATAATCATTTATGAAGTCATAGGTTCATGGTTTAATGTTGTTAATAATTATTTTCTATCTAACTAAAAGCTTAATGACTATGACAATCAATTATTTGCAAAACCTAGAGAATGCTAATGTTAAATTGTACTTCCTATTTCTATTTGTATAGTGAATCACTGAAAGCATATAAAATGTAGAATAAAATATTTAAGTCACTTGTCTGTCAAATTTGTCATTAAAAATTACTTCTAACACATGCCAATATTACATTTTCAGTAATTTCTAAGTTACATTATTCTAATCGATACTGAGCAAATAGATCTGTTACATTGTACGGTTGATTGACTTGTGGCTAGTTTTCTATAGTGTACGATAAGCTATATGTGAACCCAATAGTAAAGTTATAGTGAGTTAAATTCCAAGAACTCTGATCTGAGCGTAATTAGCATAGAGTAATAATCTAGATTTCAACGAAGAATCTGTGCCTTTTTTGTTTAGTGTCAAAGACTGCGTAGTCAGTAAGCGATTGGATTGAAATAAAATACACTTCTATTGCTTGGTGGTTTTTTGCAGTGCTAATCAGTACCTGCATGATAGTATATCACCGGGACCAGTGAAATATGTAGAGATTGTAGGGACTAAGGGGGATAAGATTTCGCGTAAGGTTAAGTTGAAAGCTTATCATCATATTAAAGCAGAATGAAGTGATTTTCTCACACATATATATAAAACGAATAAGCTTAGTTACTAAAAAACAGCAAACAGAAAACATGTGAAATCATCAAGTCAATCATTTTTACTAGACCCCCATTAGAAACCTGAAAGCCCTGCAAAAGACGGCCGTTTCGTCCTGGTATGGGACTACTCATCAGCAGGGAGCAACCACAACTCCCGCACCTCGCAGGATTGGAACCTAGGACTTTCAGTCTTGCGCGCGAACGTCTAACCTCTAGACCACTGGGCCGGCATCCAACGGTGTTAATGTCTAACTTCGATCAATTCACGCAGTTGTGCAACCTCATACACTGTATTCGGTAGTCACTGTCCACACCCGAAGAGGTTGAACTTCACTAGTCATGACTTCCCACTAGAACTCGAGCTAGTCACTAGTGAGAACATGTCACTGCATTACCGGGTTGTGAAGATTGTTAAGTTACACATTTGAAATCATAAAAATCGATCAAAGTTAGACCACCATTAGAAACCTGGAAGCACTGAGAGACGGCCGTTTCGTTCTAGTGTGGGACTCATCAACATTTGTTAAAAACAAGCTTTATTAGAAAATCACGTAAAATAATAACTATTTTGTTTCAATCTACCAAAACTATGCTAACTGGTATCAATTATAATTAACAAAAGCTATAAAACTGTCAATGTCTGATGTATATCGAATTTACATTGAATAATCAGAGCTAAATTGATCATTCATTTCATAATCTGAGCATACGAAAATAAGTAATGAATTGGAATTTAGATAGTGACGGTAAGGATAACTGAAAATATTTTGCAGTTGAGAAGTATAGGATATAACCATTTGTTTGTGGAATGCAAACATGTAGATAAGTAAAACATGATAGCAGTAACATCCGATCATAAAGTACTACTGTAAGGGGGTCACCCACTGAACAACATTGAAAAATGGCTGCCCAGTGCCATGAACTGTTCCAAGTTAAACATGTAAACCATCGGATGCCAGATCAGTGAACTACTGAAATTTAGACGCTCTCGACGACACTTGACGTCATGAACGCTGACTCTTGAGAAGTCCCGTACTCGGACGAACTAGTTTTTCAGAGACTCCTACTTTGCGATAGATATCTAGTTAAGACTAGTCTATGATGTATATCATATAGAGGGTATAAGAAATGCTGGTTATTGATGTAAAGCCCCAGAAAACCTGGTCATATAAAATAAGAACTACAGTAAACGTCAATGTGTTATTTTATAATCCGTTTAAATAGAATTACATTGAGTGGGATTAATAAAAACTAATAATTGTTTTTACAAACTAAATCGTATGTAACTAGATTTTTCATATTATTTAAACATAGAATTTATTTTTAAAAAAAGACTCATTCAGTCAATCACGCTTAGTTTGCTGTATTCCGATCGCCAGCTTAACTGGAATTCAAAGGCTTGAACATACAACTTTTATGAATACAGTTAACCTGAACATTTTTCAATGGGCTTGAATATATGCCATTTAAGTTTAAATTTCGTTATATATATATATATATATATACATATTCGAAGACACATTTATAAAGCTGACTTTGAGTAAGAACAGTGTATCTCATCTCGTAGAACCAAGTGAATCGGGAAATTCACATAGAAGAAATTCAATGTTTCCACTAGCCTATACCAGATTAGTTGACACACTCATCTTACGTCTCTGTGACTCGATCAATTCAATTAATTCTGTAGAATAAAGTATACTAATGTAGTTTAGAGTTTTTTTTTTTCGTCAACATCTTCGAACATCCAACGTGTTGATTTCTCAGTTTATGTTAACTGATTATTTCCAAATAATATATTGATTGGAAATAACACTGCAGTATTATTTACAGAATGTATTCAAATCTGATAAGCTAAACTTTAATGAAATGTAATTAGGAACAACTGGAAAGGGAGGTTCCAAACAAATATCAATCAACACCAAAATCAGGATTTTCCGTGCAAATGTTAAGACAGTTCTACTGCATGGAGCGGAAACTTGGAGAACTACCAAAGACATCATCCAGAAGATACAAGTGTTTATTAACAGTTGTCTACGCAAAATACTTCGGATTCATTGGTCAGATACCATCAGCAACAACGTACTGAGGGAAAGAACAAACCAGATTCCAGCGGAGTTGGAAATCAGGAAGAAGCGGTGGAAGTGGATAGGACACACATTATGAAAAGCACTTTAACTGCATCACGAGACAAGCCCTCACGTGGAACCCTCAAGGTGAAAGGAAAAGAGGACCGAGGGACACATTACACCGAGAAATAGAGAAAGATATGAGAGGAATGAACAAAAATTGAAGATAACTGGAAATGGAAGCCCAGGACAGAGTTGGTTGGAGGAAACTGGTGGGCGGCCTATGCTTGATTGGAGGTAACAGGCGTAAGTGAGTAAGTAAGTAGGTAAGGGAAGGGAGGTTCAGGACAGAGTCGGTTGGAGAATCCTGATCGGTGGCTTGTACCCTAAGAGTTGTAACCGGCTTAAGTAAGTTCGTAAATGATGATGATAGATGATTTTGAACAGATAGTTATGTAGTAACTGAAGTACAACTATTACAATCCACATTTCTAGCCAACATTAAGCATAGTTTATAATTGAAGTATAAATTAAAAACTCTCATTATATGAAAGAAAAAACTGACTATACATTGAAATAATAAAACGATCATTGTTAGACCATCGTTTGAAGAAACCTAGAAGCACTGGACGGCCGTTTCGTCCCAGTATGGGACTCATCAGCAGTGCGCACCCACGACTCATGCACCTGGCAGGATTCGATCTCGGGACCTTTCGGTCTTGTGCGCGAACACCTGTCCTCTGGACAACTGGGATGGTGTTAATGTCTAACTCTGATTGATCTAGGGATTTCGCGCGACCTCACCTATTTCCCTTTGGTAGTTACTGCCTACACCCGACAGGGTTGAACTCCACTGGTCACGTCTTCTCACTAGATATAACGCAAGATTTTATCAGAATTATATCTGTTTTAGAAAATGTCAGTCAAGAATATTTCGATCAATTTCAGCAACAATATGAAATATTATTAAGTTAGTTGACACTCAAGATTACTACTATTGATTTTATCTTTTTTTTAAGATAAATTAAGCAGTTTACAGTGAAAGTTACAAGTGTAAGACATGAAAATGATCATAACGAACCAATTAAAAATCAAGTTGTCGTGTTGCAAGCATAATTAAATGATAGCCTTTTCTAGTGGCTTTTACACTCAGAGCGGAGGTTCGAAAAGGTGAATTACTAATGCCTCTAAAGTGTAGAAGTGGTTGATTTGTGGTCCCCTTGAACCAAGTAGTTTCACTGTATAGAAAATCATTTGGATGGATATTTCTAGTGTGACTGTTTGACTAGAGTTAACAAGATATTCCAGCAGTGAACCATTTATCGTTTAATGTACACCTTTCAAATACCACATAGGATATTATTCGGAGATGGGCTAAGGAAACTCTCACTTTGTGCATGCATATCAATCAACCAAAATAACTTCATACATGTAATGCCCCAAAGTTACATTTTTGATTAAAAAAAATATTTCATTTATAATTTTATGTATAAATCATTGAACTAGTGAAACAAATTTAGACTACACCAGATAAAATGTAATAATTTCAATCCAAAATTTCACAAATTTTTCCTCGAAAATGCTTTTTTTAAAACTTGAATTTAATTGAAAAAATTAAACAATCAAACAATAAAAATAACAAATCAAAACAATGCCAACAAATTTACTTGTTGTGTAAGTTGATCAAGAAAAGATTGATTAATAGCTGGTTGTGAAATAACTTTGGTTACATTTTCAATATAATTCTTGGTGTTCAATAATTCTTTCGGTAATTTTTCCGATAACATATATTGATTCACTCTAGTCTCTTCTTCAACACGTTGTATCAGTGCTAAAATAAAGGAGAGAAATTATGCAGGAAAAAAAATAGTTTCGTTGAACAATAATAGTTAAACAACAAACAGGAAGTGAAATTTTCAAAAAAAAAATCGATATTTTTATGAATTAAAAGTAAAACAAAAGCGTGACAATATTTCAATATGACATGTTCATTATATAATATTTGTTTAATTCAAACAATACCTGTAAGTTAATAAATCCAAAAAATATATATTAAAGAAAAAAACGTGGACTTATTACTTCTTCTTCCCTTTTTTTTCTATCAATGTTCAATTCAAATGAGCAGAAAAAAAGTAAGTCAAGGTGTTCAATTGATTTTTAGTATATTTTTTTTAAAAGAAATACAAATTAACGTGATAATCCGGTAATTTTTTACCTTTTGAAATCATGAATCGATCAAAGTTAGACTAACATTGAGAAACCTGGAAGCACTGTAAAAGACAGCCGTTTCGTCCTGGTGTGGGACTCATCAGTAGTGTGCATCCATGACTCATGCACATCGAAGGATTAGAACCTAGGACATTTGAATGACCTTTGTGGGACTAAGATATTTTTGAATGTTTTGGATTTAATAAATACCGTATTAAATATACTTTCTATCATTAAAAGTGTGGTGCGCGCTACTTATAAGTACTATATGACGCGAGTGTAAACGTAATGTCTGGCTGCAGAAGATGGGGGAAGATCAAGAAAGGAAGAGTGGGAACACAATGGAATTTGTATGAAACGCATGAATAAGTGAAATGTCAGACAATGGATTGATGATGGATTGAAGATTTGCCAATCAACGGTTACGATATGGTTTTCCTATTTAACTGAGTAACTCTGTAATTTGCGATAAATACAATTCGGTTGCCCTCACCTGTGTTCTCCTTCACTACAAACGGACTAAGTGCCTTCACTTGATTTGATTAGTTCAAAGAAGAGTGATCATTGATTGTAAAGTGATGTTACAAAAATTGTATTTTGATGGGACACTGAGAAGATGCAGTTAATCTGCAAAAAATGTTGAGATGTATTTGCGCTACACAACTGTGAATTAATCTGGTCACACATGTATTCTTGTAATGGTATTTTATGGGAAAATTAATATATAATTAATTACACATTTGAAATCATCAATCAGTCATTGTTAGACCAACATTCGAAATCCGGAAGCTCTGAAAAAGACGGCCGTTTCGTCCTGGTATCGGACTCATAAGTAGTGCGCATCCACGACTCCTGCACCTCGCAGGATTCGAACCAGGGACATTCGGTCTTTTGCGCGAACGCCTAACCTCTAGACCAGTAGGCCGGCAGTCAGTCAGTCAGTCAGATGCAACGTAGAACTTCGTACGTAAGTACATCAGTTCATGTCGCCATACCACATCAGCACAGAGATGTGATTGTCAATTCAAATCCAATGGTAGAAGAGGTAGTAAAGGTATTAGAAGTAATCGGAGAGGTTAGGATTAGAAGATATTATTCAAGAAGTATGATTCAGTGAGATAAGTTTAGAAAGTCAAAACTAGAGGTGTTGAAGAATCCAGGAGATTAGGCCGGTACTGCTGATGAGTCTCATACCAGGACGATACGGCCATCCTGTGTTTCCAGATTTCTAATGGTGGTCTAACAATCACTGATTGATGATTTCAAATGTGTAAAAACACAAATCTCCATAACCAATTAAAAAAACTAATTAATTTTCATATAAAATATGTGGCCCGATTGTTCAAAGTTGTATAACGCAAGTACACATCACTTATTTTTAGATCAGCTACATCTTCCGATTGTTCTCTCGAAATTTATTTTAAGGGACGAATTGTGTTTTGGAAGATGCATTACTTCGTGTTTCAGCCATGTAAATTTTTTTCGGAAATATAGTTGTAGACACCTATTACTTTTAAAGTAATATGTTGTTATCTTGTGATATTTTGCCATAACTGACGATTTGGAATTCTTTTAAATGACCTCATTTCATTAAAAACCAAAATCAGTACAACAAGGGAATGTTATTTGTTAGACAGAAGAGATTAATAAAACAAATCTAGAGAAATTATTTTACACACTGAAGTTAATATCAATTTTTAAAAAATAAGTAATTAGCTTACTATACATATGAAAAATAACATGATGTCATCAAAATATTTATATTTAGGCCGAATGAGTAATTTAATTGTAAAACTTTCTTTTCATCTTAAACAGCATTCTCACGGACTAATTAACATGGAAATGAGTATATTTTAGGTTTATTTCAGAAGTAACAGGTAAGTCATTTTCAATGATCTTCATCGTGATTGGTTGATCTTAGATACAGTGTTGCCATCAAGTGTACCAGTATTGTGGTGCGCGCTACTTATAAGTAGTATATGACGCGAGTAAAAACGTAATGTCTGGCAGCAGAAGATGGGGGAAGATCAAGAAAGGAAGAGCGCGAACACAATGGAATTTGTATGAAACGCATGAACAGTGAAATGTCAGACAATGGATTGATGTTTTGCAACAGGAACAGTCCAGTTCGATATGATGGGTTGATATTTTGCAAATTAACGATTTACTATATGGTTTTCCTATTTTACTGAGTAACTCTGTAATTTGCGATAAATACAATCCGGTTGCCTTCACTTGTGTTCTCCTTCACTACAGTATTAGCAATAATCATTCTACTAGAGACCATCTTTATCCGTCTAAACTTTGTTTAGTACACGTCAGTAGATTGGAGTTGTAATTGATCTGAATCCTAACGGGAAAATATCTTTATGCAGGATTGTGGTAAATCGAATTTTCCCTAGACACTCAAAACTTGTGTTAAATGAACAATTAATTAATAATATCAGAATAAAAATTTATCTAACAAACTATGATGTGATGTGAAGATTAACCTTAAGAAAATTCATCAACCTAAGAATGTCAATGTACAAACTTTTTGATGATGATTACATTGAAACAAGGTCATCAAAATCGATTGAAATTGGCGCTTGGTAGAATGGATGAGTTCTAACAAACAATTTTGTTTAAAATAGTATTAACAAGTTTATAATCAAGTTGATCATTTTGTTAAGGTGAAAAAAATTAATGTAGGAATTAAGACCAATTCTATATAACTAACTCTATTTCTGTACAAAGATAAATACTGAATATTCATGTGAAATGTTCACCTAAGCAGTAGTTAGTCATTAATACGAAAAAATAAGCAGAAAATTGACTTAGTATAAAATTTTTTTAAATTCACTATTGTTGCATAAAAATAATATTTATTTTACTAACTAAATTAAAATTATTGTCGATGTCCTATGCTCCTTCACTAGAAGTAACAGGCGTAAGTAAGTAATTGTATTACGGAGTTGTGAAGATTGTGGAGTTACACATTTTCAAATCATGAATCGATCAAAGTTAGACTACGATTAGAAACCTGAAAGCACTGGACGGCCGTTTCGTCCTGGTATGGGACTCATCGATTCATGATTTGAAAATGTGTAACTTAACAATCTTTACAACCCCGGTAATGCAATTACCTGTGCTCACTAGTGAGTAGCTCTGTGAGGAATCTTCTCCGAGTTCTAGTGCGAAGTTGTGATCAGTGAAGTTCGAAATGTTCGGGTGTAGACTGTAACTACCGAAGATAGTGTGTGAGGTTGCGCAACTCCGTGAATTGATCGAAGTTAGACAATAACGCCGTTATAAACCGGCTCAGTGGTCCACAGGTTAGGCGTTTGCGCAAGACCGTAGGTCCTGGGTTCAAACCCTGTGGGATGCGGGAGTCGTGAATGCGCACTGCTGATGAATCCGACACTAGGACGAAACAGCCGTCTTTTGCAGTGCTTCCCGGTTTCTAATGGTGGTCTAGCTTCGATCGATTCATGATTTCAAAATATCTAAGTAGGTAACTAAATATAATTATTTATTCTTGTTTTATTTCATGCAAATGAATTTTCTGAACTTGATTTTTCTAGCGAAGAAAAAATCAATTCTGTCTACTAAATGTGAATGAAATTCAAGCAATTTTAGTCTATATATAAATTGCAGTCTAAAATTTATATTTATCAATAAATAAACATAGAATAAGGTGTGAATTTCTCATGTTTATTATGATTTTAAGAAATTGAGCTTATTCAATGATATAGACACGTTATAGAATTTACCATAAGGTCATGGAGTTTAGTTGTTGCGTTTCATTGAAATCATGAATCGATCAATGTTAGACCATCATTAGTAATGTGGAAGCAATGGATGGCTGTTTCGTCCCAGTATGGAACTCATCAATTCATCATCAACCGCGACCGCCGCTCGTGGCAATCGAACCCATCAGTCTTATCATGAAATCCCTCAAACTATGCTTCAATTTTACGCTATTTCCCTTTAAGAGAACTTTATTCAAACAAACAAAGTGGCCATGAGATCTTCAGTTGCTCCGATTGGTGTTAATTTATTTACGTCTCATAACGAATTGTTGATTTTGACCAGTACCATCAGACGACGCATCTGGCCCAGGTATGTATATGATACATTTAACATCAGTAAAAAGATTCTCCTCTGAAAATTCTCTAAAATGATAAACATGCTCTCTGAAAACATCAAATTCACTTTTTAAAATGAATATGAACGTGGTAGACTACCTTTCTTAGACTGTTCGGTTAGAAAGAATTCTAATGGCAATTAAAATCTAGCCATTTACCGAAAACCAACACATTCATATTGGTACATCGACTTTAATTCTGCACATACATTCAGTGCCTCCTAAGCCATGAATTTTTTAAAAGGGCTACCAAGATCATTACTTCAGAAAAAGATTATCTGAAGGAAAAAGATAATATAGTAAACATCTGTTACGCCTGCACGTAAACACGTCATTTTGATATGCTTGAACTATTACGAGTTTACCTAGTCGGAAAATGAGAGCGACAATCGAGGATCCGGTGACACGACATGCTACTCGATCCGATTTTCCCAACCCCCATTAAATAAAAGAAAGCTTGATATAAAGTAGAACTGGCATTCTACAAGCATCCAGAAAGTACCAGGTCCAAGTCCAGAAGAGAATCAGGATCCCGGACAAGGGATCCGGGACCGGGTCCTCGTCATAAAAAGTTACACATAATGCGTATTTATACATCTCAGTTGAATAGGAAACATCATCGAAGTCTGTGACATTGGCAGTTAAGACGACCAATAAGAAACAACATTTGAAGTGACATTGAAATTCAGGATGACCAATAAGAAACAACATTGGAGCACGCGACATTGATAGCTAGGACGATCATAAAATTGACCAGTAGAAATTAACCAATAGGAATCGACCTAATCCAGGTTGAAAAATGGTTGAAAACTCTGTCATCAGCTTCCTCGTATATGATTCAGGGTCATGTGGTTGTGATACCAGATGGCATATGGTATTTAACGAGACATCAGCCAATTTTAGCTGGTCGAACCAATCTAAACCAAGTAAATTTAGATCAGCTGGCGTTATATAACATACCCCAGTAAGTGACGAGTCTCGGAAGGCAACTTTACATTCCAATCGTCCTAACAGACGAAGGTAATACCACATGCTGTACGAGGCTTCTGTGTTGTGTGGTGCAGGCTCGGATTACCCAATTCGGTCCAATTTTTGCGTGATAGGATGGTGACATCAGATGCGGTATCTATTTGCAATCTACACAAATGCCCGTTAACATTAAGAGTAATAAATTTCCTCTCACCTGCTTAATAATTTCCTTATGAATATGATTAAAAGCTTACTAAAACGGAACTATTTATCTATAATTAACAATGCTAATGAAAACCCTTGGATTAGTACTGAGGTTTTACCTAACCACCAAGGCAAATCAGTAGAATTATGACTCATTATAATAACATTCAGAATTAAATCTTTCTATAAAACATCCAACATTCTACCAAACGTTTTAATTCAGAAAGGATTTTCCAAATATAATCAAAGGTGAGTAGCCTAAACTTCTCACATAATGCCTAAGTTCCTATCTATTGATCTGACCTAAACTATTTATTCAGCGTAACGTATAATAAACGGGAGTAATTTCTTACTATTTATCTGCAGCTTTTTCCCACCAACCAAAAGAACCATTTAACGAGCCAATAAAATGCTTATTATTGGAGTCATATCTAACTAAAGTTCAAGCAATGTCAGTTTCTCTTAGCGTTGTTGTCAGTCATGTCTAAATTGAATAGTGAGGCTGTTAAAATTTTCTCAGAGATATTTTGTTGGTGTAGGATTTCCGATGGAAGTGGAACTTCTGAGATAACTGACAGCTGATGAGAATGTGAGACATTCATCGAAATCCAAATGATTTTCACATAAAATGAAGGGTCACCTTCAGCAACCCACAATTTCTTCTTAAGCAACAGGAAAGTTTGCTTCACAGTAAACTTGTTGTCATCAATGTGTAAAATTACATCCAAGATATAAATATTCTAATCAGATGACAATATATCTTTCAATATTACATGATCATAGTTTTAAAAATTGTATTCAAAATAATCTCTTGTTTAAACACGTTCAAATGTTGCTTTTGAGTGGAGTTAGGCTATGAAAAAGGTGATGGATACAATTAATTGCAATGCATTTTAAGTAAAATTACAACACTATACCTTACTATTATTCACTGTCACTACGCTGATCGATATGATTCATTTCACTACACCTGCTTTCATTTTGTTAATAAGTTAAACGATTATCACATCGGTAGTCCTATTTATTCTCTAAATTCTTTATATATTATAGTAATATGCTGGAATATACAATTTACATTTTGAATTTCTTGGGTATTTCACACAAAAATCACTTTAATTCTAACCATGTGCATGTTTAGACAAGTGTTCATCATTGACTTGTTTTAACATGGTTGATAATTATGATATTTTCATTATTGAAAAGTTAACCAACTACTTTATTAATGGATTACAGTTGACTAATCAGAATGGGTTTTAGTTAAACAGTGACAACAGAACTGATCTGGACCATATAGTAGTAAAACCTAGATCGAACCAATCATATGAGTAGCTTTTAGAAAAATCAAAGCCTAGAATTTCTCAAATTTTATTCATCATCACTCCGTTCCATACGAATCTTGTCAGCCGTTTATCCACATAACCATAGTTGTATTGTAGGGCTGTGACGAGATTCTCGGAGAAGCTCTGAGCAGTGGAGTTCAACCGTGTTGAGTGTGAGGCAGTTAACCTAAGAAGACAATGGCAGCACAATATCGTAGAGCGACTGAATTTAGACATTAACACTGTTAGATAGAGGCTTAGTGGTCAAAAGGTTAAGCGTCTTCATGTGGACCGGATGTACCTGGTTCGATTCCCGCGTGCTGATGAGTCGCATACTAGGACGAAACTACCGTCCAGTGCTTCCAAGTTGCTAACGATGGTCTAACATAGATTGATTTAACTCAATTCACTATCTATATAGTAGTACCATGCACACACTTGAAATTTATTATGATTATTTTTTAAACTCTACTACTTAATTCCTTAAATTTCATATTTTTCTTATCCTCTTCATATACACGTAAAATTTTTAAGTCTTATATACACAATGACCTAGGCCAAAAATAACATGATATTAACATGTCCATGTCTATTATGATTTCGACTGTACTAAAAGTATTCTTCTCTGTGTTCTTTTTACTGTTAAAACATGCGTAGACTTTTCTTAATGTACAATAATTACAGAATGTGAACAGCAGTTATTTTTCATGATTCACGGACTAAATAATCAATCTATATAAAAAAACAGTTGAATCATCAAATAAAATAAAAACATTCATATTTTCAAGAATTCCTCCTACCTGCTGCTGTCGAACCACTTGTAGCCTTCCGTAATTCTTTAATCTGTTGTTGAGTCATTTGAATACGCTGATCAATATTAGCAATCTAAAATCCATTTTCAAAAACAAAAGCCAAATGAAATCACATGTAACGTTGAACCTGGGACTTAGATGTGTCAGCTCAAGTTAGTTACCACACCACATTAGGACAATGAAATAAAATGAATAAGATAAAGCCCAGCTGACATATCATCCTTCGTGGTAGGTAGTGAGTGGTTGGGCACATATAAAAGGATGCACTGACTTTACCAGTCAATCAAAATTTTACTAGCTCATCAACCGACTGGCTGTTCAGAGAATAATCGTAATCCATTCTGACCTATGTTCCACAGACGGCTTTAACAGTCAATCTATCATAACGCAGGACTTCAGTCAAATCATCTTAAAATTGGTTTCCTTTAAAAAAAAATGCATCGTCTAATGAAAGTGTAAATTACACTAGTTAATAATACGCAGATTTTTCATATACAAATGCAATTCTACATCCAGATAATACATGTATTATGGTAATCCGATATCATAATTTTCGGTATAAATATCTCTTCATTGACGAAATCGGATGGATTTTTTGAAGCAGACGCTGAAGTATATCATTAGACAACTAGATTCAAAAACTGTAGATTTACCAAATACAACTAGTAGAGGAAAAACACAATAATTCTCAGTAGTTACTTATTAAAATAGTAAGTAGTATATAACGGTAGAGTTAGTTTTTTAGAATTTTTGTTTAAAAATCCTGGATTTACTTTCTACCGCACATCTAACACGATGCTCCATTATTTATATCAATTTATTATAAAATTGGATAAATTTCAGTAGTGGGGACTGAAATGATTTAGTTCTGCATTAAATACTCCGATATTATCGCCTATTTGAAATAGAACTACAGGACCAACTCTTGTAAATCACATGATTTTCTTTCCGTCAAATATTCTGAAAACCTATAACTAGATGAAGATAGATGGTAACTCTCGATTTCTCATAAGGGTTGTTTGTGGTTCACAGCCAAAAAAACTGAAGGGACAGTTGAAATGTTGAAATGTTTATCAAAATATAGTCATTGTCGTTTTGTATATTATTCGTGTCATTTTATCGGGAACTTATTGATCTTAATAAAATCAAGCGTTTTCTGCAGCCCTCCTCTTCTTTCATTAATTTTCGACTGTTCTTTAACACAGATTAAACTCGTTGATAATTTAAGTTAAATTCAAAGCGGTCATTTAATCAAAAACTTTATGAATCCAATTAAGTGAATAAGCGTTGAACTTCAGGTCACAGAGTGATAGATAGCAGAGTTGAAAATAAAGTACGAATTTAGATGAGCTGTCAGAACCTTCAGCGAATAATTGTCATAATTAACTTCAAAAGATTCGGCGATAAGTTCAGCGATTAAAAAATATATATCCGAATATTTCGTTTGCTGCTTGTCATATATACCATGTCAATCTTTCGAATAATAATGCTTTGAAAATCGCAGCAAAGCAAAAGGCAGGAAAACAGTTCGAACTGGATTCGAGTTTAGAGGTGATTTTGTGGTGTGAGCTACTTATAAGTAGTATATAACGTGAGTGTCAACGTAATGTCTGACAGCAGAAGATGGGGGAAGATCAAGAAAGGAAGAGTGGGAACACAATGGAATTTGTATGAAACGCATGAATAGTGACAATGGATTGATGTTTTGCAACAGGAACAGTCCAGTTCGATATGATGGACTGATATTTTGCAAATGAACGATTTACTATATGGTTTTCCTATTTTACTGAGTAACTCTGTAATTTTCGTTAAATACAATCCGGTCGCCCCACCTGTGTTCTGGTTCACTACAATGTAATCAATTTATGAGAAATAGTTTGTTCGACAAGTTAGAGAGAGTTTTATAACTTCGCTCACAACACAAGTCAGATTATTATGGCTTGATAACTACAGCTTAAGAAAGTTTGATAAAGTTTCTAGCCTAGCTATTTACAATACAGGTCAAAATTGTTTATGCATCTTTGTGATGCGCTTGATGTGTTTATACAGTTTAAGTAGTAATTAGCTAGTAAGTGAAGGTAGTCATCGCACTTACGCCACTGCAAATCATTTCTTCTGAGCGTTTACCTGCCCTGATGCAAATTTTTTTAATCCATACCCGGTGCTTAGTTAAACAGCAGTACAAGGGTATCTGCTTTCACATGATCAAGCATATTCAAACTCTTGACAGTTCAGAGTTATTATTGACCGGTTTTATTTATACACAACGAAATCATTTCAACTTTCGGTTAAAAATCCGAATCAGAATCTCAATAACATCCAGATGGTTTGGCTATCTTTAACAGAAAAATACTATTATCTTAGTGGGAATGTCCTTTACAGCAATAATTTAACCTTGGTATAGGTTTTAGACAGCTGAAAGGACAGATGTCGAACAAAACCTATGTTATGTATTTGAAGAGAACCAGTTGTCAAAGGTACTTGGCAAAAGTACTTGTTGCTTTATGTTTTCATTTCATTACATCATTTTTCAGTAAAAATGATTGTCAAATAGTTAATAATCTTATGAACGGTAGATATAATGAGCCATATTAACAAGGGGTCAGATTCTCAAAGGAATTTCGCTTCGTAAGTGATGATTATGTATGTTTAACCAATATAATATACGAAATTTCCTCTTTGAAAATGACATTTCCAGACTAAAAATCACATGTATCCTAAAATCAGTTATGTTGGTGGTTGATGATGTGTTCTCCATGCAAACTCAACAGTTTGTCCACCTCAGTTACTTCAAAAGTTCTATTAAATCAGTAAATCTACGAGAACGTTTATCAACACTTATATCGTTTCATATTGTGAACGTTTTCAGTTAGAGTGGAAACAATAACTATCATCGGCTTAAGTAATATAAAAGTTCTGTTATACAGAATTGGTAAGTGGATAATTTATCTTCAAAATACGGTAGTTTTTTCATCAGTTTGCATTAAGGTAGTAAACTAAAGATGAGTTGTAGCTTATATGAATACTAAGTTTCAACTAAGGGTAAGTATTGATGGCATTCTCCGAAGAGAAATTGAACGATTTGGAATTATTCATCTCAAAGAACGAAACATCATTAAAAAACAATAATTTGACACAAAGCTTGCAGTTATTATAGTGTCAATAGTTAAAACTCACTAGTGTCTTTTGTTCTCTCATTTGTTTAGAAATTTTGGCTTCCTTTTCTCGCTCTATCCGTAACTTTTTCGCCATTTCAAGCATTGCATTACTGGTGGGAAAAGCTTCCAACTATGAAAGTAAACTATTTATTATTTATGGTGCTATTCACAGAAGAAAAAGTTATGCATGTCAAGAATAATGCTAGGTATTCCAAACAAGTAATTTGTAGATGAACATTCTTACTAACATTTAGCTCATAAATCAATAGCAAGAATAAACTACCATAGAATTGTTTATTATTATTCAAGATGATATATATAGCTAAATTACGCAACTGAGCTCTTTGATCTGATTAAACAACTCGTCAACCGGATTTATGTATGCCCAACAATTAGAATTTACTATGACAATAGAACCTATTAGTTGTTTTCTTAAATACCAGCGGATTATCTACTAAGCGTTCAATTCCAAAATATCGTGAAAATAATCACTAAAGTAGAAAAATACAGAATATATGGACAGCCATCTTGAATATTCATTTAGCAAGGGAGAAATACGAAAGACATAAAAGGAATTAAATGATCATATAAGTCAATTATTTGGTCTTCTTTATTGAATAAAAGAGCGTAAAAGCCTAAAGTATTTTTGAGCACAAGTATAAGGACTCAAATCTCCGTAGCTCAGTGAAATTAAGAGAGAAAGTCAAACTCTATATGCTGGATTTACTTGTATAATAAACATTTATTATAATAATGCTTTCTTTTTACTGAATTTGAATTACTGAATATTCATTATCATCGTTATGAGTGACAAAAAGCCTACTTTTGTATGCTTTGTATAAAATTATACGATTCTAACTGTAAGTTAAAACTCAATATGGGGCCAAATGAAAGCAAAACTTCTATTATCTTTTGCTCTAACTGACGAGTTTCCATTATGTATGGCTGACATGCGTTAAATAAGTAAACAGGAAATAAAAATCTGCAGACAAAAATAAGCATCCATTTTATTAAGGGCAGAGATGCATATTTGTTAACCTACCTTCTTTTTCATCCTTTCTACTCGTCTGAATAACTGGTCCTTCTCCTCTTGCATTGCTGATATATCTTTCTTCACTTCTCCAGTCGTTAGCCCATCACTTTTAACGCTTTCAAGCTTTTTGTGAGACTCCTTAAAGTTTTCGATCGCGTTTTCATACTTAAATTATATTAACCAAATTATATGTTCAGTTTACTTGTTGATAAAGTCCTGATATTTCTTCATCCTGCATAAATTCCATAGGTATATGGATTTTAACTAGAAATTGGGCTAAATACGCCCGCTTTTTCAACTCAGATATTCTAGTAAGAATCCACTCTAGAAGGGGATATATGATAACTTTATCGCCAGTTACTAAACCCTGTCGAAATAAGCTCCTTACAAGACAATATAATCCAAATATATGCACTTACAGGTTTTCAGGATCAGTCGGCAACTTATATCTAAATACCTTGAAAGCCTCAAACATTCTTGCAGCCATTTTATCAGAAGGCTCTTGTCTGATATCAATTTTATGCTACGGAAAAACAGATGAATTATATAATCGATGACATTACTTTTTGGTCTATTTCTCCAAGAACATCATTTAAAACCTGTAGAAGATGAACAGGTTCAAGGGAATCAAAGGATATTAAGTTGAAATTTCTGTTAAATGGCTCATCATTTAGCTTTTGTGTGATCAGTCTCAATGTTTCACTCATTTTGGAGGTTTCTATGCTTTTTAAAAAGTCACTTGTTTTGTTCGAACAAGTGATGCAGTTAAACAAAGATGTAAGTCCTACAGCATCTGATATTTTTGTGATAAACCAGCGGACTTGATTGCGATTCTAAAATCTTGTTGTAGCGTAGAAATCTCGGGTTCTGAAGGGCGCTGATCTGTAGCACAAATCCTACTGGTTTGGCAGTGACAGGAGGGATGAAGTGTCTTGAGGGTAAAATTATCTGTGCCTGAAACAATCAGAGTCGTCGTTTTCTACTTATGCAAGAACTCTGAAGTTTTGGGAGCTATTAAATCAAACCTGAAGAGCTTGCCTTTGATCCACTGCTCTTGGATTGTATAAGATTGTTGGTATATTTAGGACTGCCAGAACAAATAATGTAGGCCTGTACTGACAAACATGCTTTGAAGCGCCAAATGGTGTGACTCAGGAAATACAGTTACGGTACGCTATACTTTCTTGAGGACCTCGTAACTAAACCAGAAAAAGTTGTGTTTAAATACTTTTATGAAGAGAACGCGATTGGTGAAATGAAAACATTTATTATTATAATCTGTTCTAGAAGTGTTTGTTCAACTGTACTTGTGTTTTATAACCCTTTTTTATGCGCGACTTTTTGTTTGCGTTTCTGCCATTGTTGATGTAGCTGCTCTTTATTTCGTGCAGTCTCAGTGTAATTTCGATCTTTTCTCGACACCCCGAAATCACCAGCAAATATATTCCTTACCCTGGATTTATTTATCTTTTCAGTGACAGGATGGTAAGTAGTATTTATTGGTGGTCATAGTCAATCTCTGTTCGGTCACTCACAAAACAGTACATTTAGTAAGCTTTTCTAAGTTAGCTAAGATAATTGACTAGGGCAAATTCAAGTGTAGTTTCTTAGATATCTTTCTGTTCGTTAGATAGCAGAATCCAAGCTTATAACAGACTTCAAAGTTAGTCTCATACTGATCGTAATGTAAAGTTCAGTTTTTGCAATGAAATGTACTTAAATCTGTCAATTACCACCCTTCTTGATTGTTGGCAATTTTTCCATGCATTATAGTTCTTTAGAATGTTAGATGTGCCCCAATAGCAGTAACCGACCCCCAACATTAAACAACTTGGTAATAGACCGACATTAATACCTGCTACGTTAACTTTACTTCTCATTTCACTGACTGAAGTAAGTCACTCAAGCATGCAGAATAGATCACATTTCAACCCATCTCAGAATACATCGCCAGTAACTGAATACTTTAGCATTTATACACTACCGTCATCTCACCTTTAATCCAAATATATGCTTCCATTATGTCATCCACTCAGACACGACCTCGTTAACCTTTTACCAATAATGAGTAACGTCCAGTTTTTAAAACCAGATTGAAATATTTAACCTCATCAAATGACACAAACTGAGCCTTTTCTTGGTAACAGACAACCATATTAAAAAATATGATAGCCATTATTGCACCACTTTTGAACCACTGTGCAGAATGTTCAGTTGTATTTCTTTGAAAGACATGAATGCTGATTTCAGGTTTCGGGAAACTCAAAGAATGACGTTCAGAGCTCCACAAAATGCTGTGAGAACTAACCTCGGTCAGCTAGACAACAATAAAATGTCAACTACACTTCACTCAATCGCCAACTGACCTTAATCAATAAACCACAAAACAGGACAACAACACCCGGGTTTCATAATAAGGCACATTATACAAGCGAGAAGCCTTCAGCATCCGTTTTGCGTAGGGCTGGAAGATTCTCTCAAAACAACAATTTGTCCGGGAGTGTAAAAATAGATGAAGACGTCGAAAACACTAGGTCAGGAGAAAATTCATCATATACGCCCTAGGCTCCTAAAGAGCACTAACAAGCAAATTAAGAGAGGACGGAAACATCCACGTTCATTAGAGTACGAACATCATGGTCACAACTGAAACATGGCTTTCTACCGACATTATGAATGATGTTGTTTTATTTGAAACATTTCCTGGATTGATTAGATGCGTGGTGAAGCCACGAGAAGGTGTAGAAATGGAACACCCCGAATATTAGACTATTCGCAAGCTATAATCAGATTCTAGTCAAAAATATCCATAACCAAGCATCAAAAGATCAAGGTCCAAGCCGATCTTGGTGCATTTATCTATGCTCCTAGAATAATAATAACACTTATTTTCGGATAACAGGGTGTTACATGCGGCATGTCAGTTTACAGGCAAGATCAATTGTTTACAAATGTTTCCACATTTGCTTTCATTGGTTGATCAGTTAGATTATTACTGATATGCTTTTTAAGACAAGGCAAGTTCAAGACGTTTCACCAACATAAACAGTTTGATGCTGTTAGGATATTCATGCAATATCCTAAGAGAATTATTGGTCAGTGCCTATTGGTTAATTCTTACTGGTCAATATTATGATCGTCCTATCTATTAGTGTCACACACTTCATTGTTGTTTCCCATTGGTCATCCTGACTATCAATGTTACAGACTTCAATATTGTTCTCTATTCGACTTAACTGTATAGATAAGTATTATCTGTGACGTTTTATGGCCCGGACCCGGAGCTGGATCCCTAGTCCGGGATCCCGATCCTCTTATGGACTCGAAACTCGTATTTTCTGGATGTTTGTAGAATACTGATACTTCATATCAAGTCTTCTTCTTCCACTCATTGGGGGTTGGGACACTCGGATTAGAGCAGCACGTCGTGTCAATGGATCCTCGCTCTCGTTTTCCGACTAGGGAAAACTTGTAATAGTTCAGGCATATCAAAGTGACGTGTTTGCGTACAAGCGAAACAGATACAGCCCCATTTTCAGCAAGTGTTCACAAACAAGGTAGGTACATAGGACAGTTCTCTAGTGGTACACATAATTTAGGAGCGACTACACATACGATTAGGGAGGTTTATGTGCGGTGTATTTGTATTAAAGAACAGGTTAGCGTGTTCATATTTGTCGGACGGATCTATCCTCCAATCGTTACTCATATCTGTCTCCGATACTCATATCATCATGCCCTTCGGTCTTCCTCTTTTCTCTCGGCTTTGAGGATTCCAACTTGTGGCGTGCCTTGTTGTTTGTGTCCTATCGATATCCAGAACCTTTTCCCAATTACTATTTCTGTTGGGGGAATCTGGTTTGTTCTGTAACAGTAGATTTTTGCTGATGGTCCCTAGCCAATGGATGAACAGTATCTTGCGCAGACGATTAATGACAAAAATTTGTATCTTGTAGATGATGACTTTCGTAGTTCCAAATTTCCACTTGATAAAAAGAACAGTGTTGGTATTTTTTTCCCCTGAGATGATGCCCTTATTATCCAGTCGATCATCAAGAGAAAGGAAATGGATGAGAGCATGCAACGCTATTTTCCCTTCGGAACGAATCCCAGAGGTGTCCTCCACGAATGATTTCTCAGTGCGGTCCTTCGTAAAAATTCCGAAGAAAAGCTGTAATAATCTTTGTGATGTTGACCGCCCCGTTCCTCAGTGCTTTTTAGTTTGAATATCAACTTGGCGACCGGTAGGTGATGATCTGAGGCTATATCGACTCCTCTCTTGGTTTTCACGTCCTCCATTGCCCCTCTGAACTTTCTTTTGGTGCAGATATGATGGATTTGGTTCTGTGTGTTGTGATACGGTTAAATGTATGTGGCCTTATACATGCGTTTTTATGGGAATACTGTGCCACCAAAGACCAGTTTTTTGAAGTAAATAAGTTTGCAAATCTTTCACCATTTTCGTTACTTCCCCCCAATCAATAATGTCAAAGGAAGTCTTCAAATACACAGTTGACCATTTAGTTATCACATCATAATGGTCAAATACTTTGTCAGGTATTTCTCGGCAAATGACTAAAGCTTCTCGTCGAATTGATCTTTAACTTATTCAGGTTAATCACTGGTTGATGCGTATCAGTGGATGAAGTTCATTGTAATGCCCTCTTTCTTTGTTTTAAAGGATGCTTTGATGATACTATGTCAATGAAATCCTCAACATGTATGCGTTCTTGTTCTCCTTTGAACAACATCAGTGCAACTGCCTATGAGAGTGAGACCAAGGTAAACCAGCAGCTATCCTGAAGCAAGTCTTTGTTGTAAGACCTGTGTCCAAAATGATTCGCTAACTTCAAGCGAATCCAGGTTGCATTTTTTCACTTCTGCAGGAACTTGGACTGCTCTTTTGGTCACTCACATTATCCCAAGCGCGGCTGGTACCTTGACGTGGTGCTCAGGATTGGCTTCATGATGACCCAACCAAGGATATTGGCGGGAACTTATGTTCCTGAAGGTTCGACCATGCCAGGTGTAAAATCGTTTTTGAATGTTTTGTTTTTTGGAAAATCCCTCCATGTTTACATATTTTTGTTATGACATGAAGGACTTTTTCTGTTGACATTTTTGGTATTTTATTTGATTCCGATTTGAGATTTTATCATTGTATATTGTTATTATTTCTATATTTTGTACTTATATTGAAGTTTTTATGTTTGCTTCTGATCTGTATATATGTTGTTTAAATTTGATCTTTAATATGGCTACAGCCATATTTGGATTGATACAGTAGCCGCTGGACTTAACATCACTTATCTATCGTTGTTTCTGATACTCTTCGGAGTAATTGTATCCTGGAAGGTGTATTAATTCCAGGTACTGCTTTGTATTTCCATGTTTTTATTAATAAAGACACTTTCTCCTAGAATTTTTGCTTTATCGGAACCTTGGACTGGGAGAACGAGTTCAGGAGTGCACCTATTGGAACCCATTGGAACGGCCACCGTAGAAATCCATTTACAGTCTGGAATTATTCCTAAGAACATTTACAGTCTGGAATTACCCATCACTTTTGATTAGAAGACCAATTACAGTTGGATTATTAAGAATAATAAAGAAACATTTGGAAATTTAATCGTTTATCACACTAAACTTTCTTGAAAGAAGAATTTTGGATTACTTATCGTATTTTCGTATTCGAACTGTATTTTGG